ATGAAGCAGAGGAAATGGCATTGAACATGGAGAAGAGTGAATTAGTGGGCGTGCAGCTGTGGGGAGAAGCAGGTGGTCACAGGGTGCTCAGGGTCACCCCTCTGATGTGCTGTTTGAAGAAGGCCAAGGATAGAGTACGACAGTGACCCAGCATAGCCTTGACGAGCCAGGTACACTTCCAAGAAAGTAGGTTCTACGGGAGTCTTTAAGGAGACTCAAGGACATCACTTTGGAGCACTGGGGGACAGCTCCCCCACTGTGACTCTCAGCTCCCACAGTCTAAATATAGTGGAGGGCTGACTCCTCCCGGTTTCCTCAGGGGCTGACTGAAGAGACAAAAGGAAAGTCCAACTGACCTGGATGTAGACAGACAACAGACACAGGCCAGCTCTGCAGGGCTCTGGGAGGCTCTATGAACAGACACACAGCCTGGCTAACACTTTCTGCCTCACTTGGGGGACAGGCAGCAAGCCTTCATCTGTGGGACAAATGCAGTCCAGGACATGGTGTCATTTATGTATTCATTTTAGACCCAACTGCCCTGAAAGCATCAGTAGACGCATACCACAGATATCATTTAATCTCAGTTTTATAACCTATAACACACATTGTTAAAAGATATGGACAACAAAACCACATTACCACTATTCTCAGACTTTAAACATTAGCAAAGATGTTTTAATATCAGCAAATATTACATCACAATTCAAGATGTCAATTATCTCAACATTCTTTAAACAATGGTTTTATTTAGAGTCAAGAGAAAACATACTCCGCACATGGCACGGGGTTGACTCCTCCCTGAAGCCTCCCAGTTTACAGGTCCCCCTTCCCTCCATGCTTCAACTATTACTTCTGGATGCGCCGGGTCCTGAAGATTCTCCCACACCCTGGATCTGACCCTCTGCCTTGTACACTATTATGGACAGATTCCTCTAAACCTCAATTTCCAGAAATTGAATGGTCAGATTTCGAGGCTCATTTAGATGCAGCTGGGATGGTTTTGGCAAAACCACGTCACTCTGATGATGTGTGCTCTAGTGGACCATACAGGAGGCATAAAGTATCCGGTTGTCTCTTTTACTTTTTTAAAACCTTAGTAGTTTTTTTTTTTTTAAGTCTTATCATTATTTTTACTTTGTGTATGTTTGCCTGCATGTATGTCTGTGCACCACATGTTTGCCTGGTGTCTGCAGAGGCCAGAAGGGAGTATCAGATTCTCTTGAACTGGAGTTACAAAAGGTTGAGACATTGTAAGGGTGCCGGGAACTGAACCTGGGTCCTGTACAAAAGGAGCAAGTGTGCTTGCTGAACCGTCTCCTCCCCACCCCAGGGCTCTATCTATGACGCTGAGCCATCCCATGCCCCCACACCCACTCCAGGGGTCTCTCTGTGATGCTGAGCCATCCCATCCCCCCACCCACACCCCAGTGGTCTCTCTGTGATGCTGAGCCATCCCATCCCCCCACTCCCACCCCAGGGGTCTCTCTATGATGCTGAGCCATCCCATCCCCCTACCCACTCCAGGGGTCTCTCTATGATGCTGCTTGGTTTCATTTATGGGAGATTCCTGGGCAGGTCAAGGGCAGGAACCATGTATCATGCTGGCTCTTCCACAGGCAGCTTTACACAGTTGGCTAGGACATATATAGAACCACTTTAACATTCTAAAAAGTAATTTGAACATAGCCATTGGGGAAGAAGGCCAGAATTTAAATTATTTACAAAATGGAGGTGAGTTTACAATTTTCCCTTTAACTCTTAGGATCTTTAGATTCCTGGAAAGATGCTCCCACCATGTTGAAGAGAGAGAAGCAGATGGATGTGTACCATTCTTCTTAGGTGGACCCCCACACTGCACCTGTGTGCACTGTCCTAATCATGGAGCCCCACACTGCACCTGTGTGCACTGTCCTAATCATGGAGCCCCCACACTGCACCTGTGTGCACTGTCCTAATCATGGAGCCCCCACACTGCACCTGTGTGCACTGTCCTAATCCACACAAAGAGGTTGAGAATGAACTCAGACCACTGAATGCACACAGTCTGCTTCCACCAGCACAGCCCATAACCAAGTAGTAGGAATAAGTCTATTAGGACATTTGCCTACTAAGGCAAAAATGTAAGTATTCTCTCTCCAGAATGTACTTAAGATCCTCACATCAGACGAAACAAAGAAAATGCCAGAACAGAAACTGAAATTAGACGTCATACAGAGAATCAGGAAAATCTCAACACATGTGGGAAAAGACAGCAACCAGATAGATACTAATATGAAGGTGCCGGGTATTGGAACTGTGTGATCCAAATGTAACACATCTCTTACACTCTAATAAGCAGCCACAAAGACACTGGAAACAAATGGAAAAACAGAAAGTCAGCAAAGAAACAAGAGACAGAAAAAAAAAAAAAGGAAACTTTAGAAATAGAAAACTGGAATAAACACATTAAAACAAAGCGAAAGCGCAGCAGCTGGCTAGCAGGGGAAAGAGTAGCAACGGCAAAGGAAGGAACTGGCGACCGAAGACAGATGAACGGAAAGTATCCCTCTGAACAACGGGGAGCAAAACGACCGATAAAAAGGGAGCAAAGCCTCGGTGACTCATGAGACAGAGGCTGGAAATCCGATGCTCCTGTCACCTGGATCTCATAAGGAAAGAGGCCAGCGCTGGAAGACATTTGAAGAAATGGTAGCCAAAAATGTAGTAAGTGTGCCCAAAATCAAAACCCAGACTCAGAAAACCCTAAACAGGATAAAGTCAAAGAAATCGACCTGCAGATGCCCCAAACCAAAATCTAAATGCTCAGGATCAAAGACAAAATGCTCTTAGAAGCAGCCAGAGGAGAGATGCAGGATGTGCAGGTGAACGAACTGAGTGACTGTGACTCTCCCGCTGGAAACTAGAGAGGCCTGAGGAAGTGGCACATTTAAAGTCCTCAGAGAAAGGACTGTCAGCCCCCAACCACACACCATAAAAATGCTTTTAGGAAGGCGGGGGAGACAGACATCTCCGGCTGAGGGAAAACGCAGAGCGTGTGTCTTCTGCAACCCTGCTCTAAACAGCACTGCTGAGCAGGACAGACGGCTCAGCAGTTACGAGCACACACTTCTCTTCCACAGGACCTGAGCTTGGTTCCCAACACCCACAGTGGGCAGCTCACACCCCAACTGTAACTCAGTGGAGTTACACTCAAAGGTAACTCCAGGAGATTTGATTACTTCTGACCGCCACAGGCATCTGTGTATACACAGACACACACACACACTTAAAAAGAAAATAAAATCTTCCAAAAAAGCATCTCTGGAGGAAGTTCTTTAGACAGAAGGGAACGACACCAGAGGACCCTCACAGACATGAGGGAAGAGCAGCTGAATCCTGGCCCATCTGAATGAACACTGCATCTTCTCTGGAGCCTTTTAGAGTTGAAAATTTAAAACAAAAACCAAACACTGTCTTCTGGGAGTTAAATGACTGAAGAGTTATCTCTATAACATGAAGAGACCCCCAGAACCAGGTTTCTGCACCCCACTTGGAGTGGGATAATGCTGACTCAAGTCCAGAAAGGCCCAGTGGCACGTGAGGACTCCCTCAGCCTGACCTGTCAGTCCCTGGAGAGCTCTTTACAGATTCTCACCCGGGCTTCTCACAGCCAGTGGTGGTTATTACAAGCATCCAGCAAGCAACAAGGCTTCAAGATGGAGATGTGTACTCAACTCTATCATTCTTCCATGAGTTATATTCTTTGATTACAAAACAGTAACTTTCTTCAGTCAGCTATCTGATGAATCTACAACAAGTGGTGGGTAAATGTATGATTGTTTTTTTAATAAAACCAGTGTTCAAGGCAGCAAGGCAGGACACCGGATCATAATTTTACATAGGTAGATGAGAAGACAACATGGCTTACTCTACCCTCTGCTATCATCTGGAATGGGTACCATTTACTCACTTCAGGATTAAAGGCCAGTATCCCACATGTAAATCTTACAGGGCAAGCAATGAGGATGGCTCAGCTTAGTGCGCATCCCAGATGTGTCCGACGTGTCTTTACTGTCATTGGATTAACTGTACGTACACCCACCCACACACACACACACACACACACACACACACACCCTTCCTCCCCCTTAGGTCATTACATTCCAGGACAGCAGGGAGCTGAGAACTTGACCTTTCCTACCCTGACACTGCAGTAAGTGAAGTCACTGTGGCCCCAAAAAACACTAGAAAAGACTCCATGTGTTTAGACCAAGGAAGGGTTAAACCCAGCAGCAAGACTGCAAAGAGGCAAAGTGAGCTAAAGTAAATGTGTAAACGTGTGTGTGTCTGTATGTTTGTGTACTTATATGGAATATTACATAGCAGGTCAAAAACATGGTGGTCACAGGATAATTTTAACTCTATACTATCTGAAATTTTTTTCAAGAATTTATTTTCAAAGAATCTAATTTTTTTTAAGTGTATGAGTGATTTGCCTGCATGTATGTATGTGACTACATGCATGCCTGGTGCCCTTGGAGTTCAGAAGAGTGTGCCACATCTCTTAGGACTGGAGTTGGAAGAGCTGTGAGACACTGTGTGGAAGCTGGGAACTGAACTCAGGTCCTCTGCAAGAGCAACAAGTGCTCTTAACTGCTGAGCTGTCTCTCCAACTCTCATAGAATATAATGGACAAATCAAAGTTTTTAAAGCATTCAGAGAAGAGGAGCAAGCAAGTACAAAAACATGGGGTGTTGAGACGGTCAACCAGATGAAGTATAAAGGAGCTATGTGGCTAATGCACCCCTCTAGTTCAGGCTCCTCATCTGTGCGTCTGCAGAGGGACTGTGAACAGAACAGACGCCGTGGGCTTACTATGGCCCTCCACAAACAGTGCGTGGGAATTAACAGTCACGTGCCCAGGGGTACTAAAGAAGGCGATGTAACGAGGGACAGTCAGCACCAGCCCAGTCAGCAGGAGAGACAGAGGTCACCGTGCCCAAGGTCCCAGGACTTACTGCAGTTCTCCTCGTCGCTGCCATCAGGACAGTCTTCAAAGCCGTTGCATCGGAAGCGGCCGATGATGCAGTGGATGCCGCTGGCACAGGGAAAGAAGGTGGGGCCGCATTTTGACTTCGCTTTGGCTGCAGGAGGAAAAGACACAGAGGTCTATCAGGGGGTGCAGTTCTTAGGCCACAGCCTCCTGACCCCACTTATTCTAAAGGTATGAATGAGTCCTTTCAGGTTTAGCTTGATGCTCCCAAGGACATGTTACCATCATCACTGGCAAATCCCCAGCCCGCATGGACACCTACATGCAGCAGTTTTTAGAGTTGCCAATCAACCCTGCTTCAGAAGTCCTTAAAGGAACCTGGGAGATGCCTCAGTCACTAAGTAAAATGCTTGCCACGCAAGCATGAGGACCGGATTTTGATCCTCAGAAACTATACAAAAAACCAGACTGTAGTTGGAAGGTGGTGGCGCACGCCTTTAATCCCAGCACTCGGGAGGCAGAGTTGGAGGCCAGCCTGGTCTACAGAGTGAGAGCCAGGACAGACAATAAAACCTCACAGAGAAACCCTGTCTCGAAACCCCACCACCACCCAAAAAAATAAGAAAGCAAGAAAAAACAACCTGAATCCACGTGGTGGCATGTACCTGCAATGTCAGCACTGGGGAAGAACAGATAGGTGAACCCCTGGTGCTCAGTGGCCAGCCTGCCTAGCCTAATTGCAGAGTCCCAGATCCCAGCAAGACACCCTGTCTCAAAAACAAGGTGGCTAGCTCCTGAAGAACAGCAACTGAAGCTGACCTCTGACCTCCATGCTCCAACACACAAACACAATGCCTACCTACATACACACATAAACACCCCATCAAAGGTGCACACGAAGTCCTGGAGGAGGTGAGGCAGAAGCTGCATACTGTAGCAGGTGCAAAACTGAGGAATGGATAGGTGAGTGGATGGGTGGATGAGTGGTAGATACAGAGCTGGACGGGGGACACAGAGCTTGCTTCTTTAGAAGCTGAAGAGCCAGTCAAAATGCATTCCCTGGATATCAAAGCAATTGTTGTTGGCATTTAGTGAGTCCTTGCCATACTAGGCAGGGTGCCAAGACCTTTGCATAGATTTTCTCATTTAATTTACCCAGTAGTCACTCAATGGGACGGCGTGCAGAAAAGCACATGTGACACTCTCGGGGCTGTACCTTTCCAGACCTGCTTGCAAGGTCATACCTTGCTTGGCTGGAAATACAGTTGGGAATGTGGTTTAAGGAACGTGTGGGGACATCCTACCTCTCTGAGAGCTTATGCAAACTGTCCAGTTTAGTTTGTGCTAACATTTGCATTTCTTTTGAGTCTGGAATCCAGGAACATATGAGGCAGTGGATGCTTGTGATGGTGAACCGTGACTGTCAACTTGACAGGCTCTAGAATAGCATAGGAGACAAGCCTCTGGCATGTCTGTGAGGAAGCATCTACCTCTGGCATGTCTGTGAGGAAGCATCTAGATTAGAGTAAGCGAGGCGGGAAAACCTAGGACAAGAGCAAACATGAAGAGGAGCTGTGCACTGGAAACCACCTCTGCTTGCTGACTGCAGAGGCAATGTGATCAGCTGCCACAAGCTCCTGCCGCCATGATTTCCCACCACGAGGAGCAGCACCTTGCAACTGTGAGGCGTTCCTTAAGCTGCTTTGGTCAGGGTATTATCCCACAGCAGCAGGAAGGGAAACTAAGACAGGGCCTGGCGGATCAGCCCTTGACAAGAACTGGGTGCTGAGTCTGAAATGAGCTTGCCCGGTGGGCACTTCACACATGGTGTTGAAACCGATGAACAGAGTGCACCTTGTAGGCGTGCTCTAAGAGAGAACTCTAGGAAGCCAAGGCTTGGGCCTCTCTGGGTACCACTGCCATCATATTTTGCCTATTATTGAATTTGCATTGCTCCCTTTTGAGGTCATGAACCACGGTCCTGGAGATGACCATTTGCCAATGACCATTTGCCAATGACCATTTGCAGAATCCTAGGAAATGATGACCCTGGGAGGGTCCTGAGGAGTCCTGACATAGACAGGTATGGCTTCTGTCACCATTTTGTGGCTATGCTTTGAGGATAAAGTGACTTTAGTCAAGTTCACACAGCTAAGAAATCTAGTGCTGAGGGGAGGCCTAGGCATGTGGACTCCAGAAGCCATGACCTCAATCAACCTAACAGCACGCCTCTCTGCCACAGGCTGTCACTTCTCCCAACAGAAGCCAGACTCCTGCGCTGAAGAAATTCATTTTGTACACCTGCTGTACAAACAGTTTGAACAGAAACAGTTGTAACTTGGGCTTGATTTACTGCCCTGCTAAGCCCCGTAGCCCTGGGGGGTGATGCTCTTTCTAGTTAATGGTGCTGTCTGCTCTGAGTGTCGATTAGGAGACACAAGATGAGATCTATGGCTAAGTGCTGGTAGCAGTCCCGTTGAGCATCCTCCAGCCTCCTGTCTGCGAGGCTGGACCCACACTCCTCCAAGAAGGAAAAGGCCATTTCTTCGGAACAAATACAGTAAATTACCTACACGTTCCCACCGTCTGTATGATGCCAATGTAGGTGGCAGCTGACTCGTGGTCAACAGGTTATTTGTGAGTTCTTCACAAAGCACCATCTCAAGAGTTCTGGGCTCAAACTCAGACTCCATTTTGATGACTTTGGACATGTTTCTGAATATTGATGAGCCTCAGTTTCTTCACCAACAAAAGGGAGGCAAAACTCACCCTCCAGGGGTCATGTAAGATGGAGGTGGTCAATATAAAAGCTTGAGTAGAGACAATGGCACTTGCTTTTCCTACCACCATGATAGAGCCTCTGACAGAAACCGATGTGTGGCTGTTTCCTCTGGAGGAAAGAGGGAGGCTCAGGAGAGTCAAAAAAACTAACATAAATTAGAGGATCAAGAAGGTCATAAATTTACATGACTTATAGGGTCCCTCCGCAAAGTCATATAGCCAAGGAAACAATTGTTAGGAGATTGGAGACTCAACAGTGGAGCTGTTTTCAAGGAGCTCTGTGGGTGTGCTTTTGTGAGTCGTCACTCACGATGTGGCGGGCAAGGTTCTGAGTCACCCGTGCTCCTGTAAGCAACTGCAGTAAACACACTGGTCACAAAATCAGGTTTGGGTGAAATAATCTCTTTGGTCTGTTCTTAGTGCCCTAACTGCCTAGCATGAATAGACAGTTGCTTACATCTCCTTAGGAAAAGCCACACAACAGAGCTAGTAGCCAAACAGGGACCAGCAGAACCAAGAGTGAATTGGGGAGAAACAATTATGTGGTCCCTGTGATGGGGGATGAGACATTCAATTGAGGCTGATCCATCTGGAAGGACGTGTCCTCAGTCACCACAACTCAGGCAGCCATGGCAACAGGAAGGTAGTCTCCAGACTCGAAGCGAACAGCTCTTCATCCTGAAGTGTAGGTGGGAACCTGACCTGCATGTTCGCTGACTTGTCCGTATTTTTCCCCTTTTACCAGAAGCCGGGGGGTACAGATGGGCTAAAGGTCAGAGACATAGGTCTCTGGGAGACATGTGAGAACTACAGGGTACCAGGAAATGGTCTGGTGACACCAATCTCTAAGTCCAGAGCAAGTAGGATGCATGGGTCTACCTAATACCTGGTTTTTGGGTCTCACAGCTGTGAATACTGAAGCCCAAATCAGACAGCAAACCTTCCCAGAGTCAGGCAGCTCCTGTGGGCTGAACTTGGTCTTGAGCCTGATTCTCCCGCTCCTGAGTCCAGCCTCTTTCAGCTCTGTAGCGCTATGCCACAGAGAGTGCTGCCGGGCCACACCTGGCTCAGACAGCTTACCAGAGTTCAAATTCAACGGGGAACAAAGGTAAGGGAACCAGGAAACCAAGAGCCCTTCTTCCACGTGCCAGAATGCTCCAGACCTGGGGTAGAAGGCTCTTCACTACACTGCAAGCCTGTGACTCAATCTGCCCAGAAAGCACTCATGGCTGCACGCACACCCTTTAGAGAATGATCTAGGTCTGTTATCTATTGCTGATGGCCCAGGTCTCCCCCGGTGCACCACACACAAGAGCTGGGCTAGAAGTCTGGTGTGGTGACACACACCTGTGACACACTAAGATGACAGAAGCAGGAGGCCAGCAAGTGTGAAGGCAGCCCGAGTGTCACAGTGAGATCCTGTCTCAGTCACCACCCAAGTCAGCCAGAAAAACTATGAACTCCGCCAGTCAGACCTGCCACATCCCTCAGGTGGCGGCTACACCACCAGACCAAGCAATGGGTATTCAGGGTGGCCCTCTTTGCCTCTGTATTGGCCAGATGAGGAAGAGCTGCTGACCTCCAACTCCTGCCATAGGATCCTGCCAGTACAAAGCCAAGATGGGCCGCAGAAGCAGGAGCCACAAGCTCCTCTGCAATGTTCCCATCCTTGCTCATAAGCTGGAGCCCGAGCTCACTGTGAAAGATGTCTATAGCAGAGAAACGTATGAAGGAGAATGTGAAAATCATCACCCATCACCACCACCCAGGAAAGAGTGCTGTGGACATTTAGTAAACATGATTCTGTATCAGCTACTCTTCTCATTGTGAGGGAGAAAGGACTCATTTTGGCTCACAGTGTCAGGAGACTGTTAAAAGTCCATCAGGAGGGGAAGGCATGGGAGTGGGTGTGGTTCAGTTCACACTGCTGAGAGTGTGGGGGCAATCAGGACAGCCAACCAGGAAGTAAAAGCACAGCCAGACTAGGAACCACCCCCCACCCCCTCCCCCGCCACCACGAATTGCTAAACGGTCTTATTTATTTAAAAAAAAAAAGAAAGAAAAAAAAAAACCCGGAGCCAGAAATTGGGGTAAAAAATTGAGAGATCAGAGGAATAGAACAAACCACAGCCAACCTCACCTCGCCAACTCCTCAGCTGATCTTATTTCCTCAGACTGAAAGCCTGAGTCCTCACCTGGAAGGGACCTCAGCTGAACTGCTTAAAAGCCTTCTAGGAAATCCTCAGTCCAAGAGCCCCTGAGTCCTCACCCGAAAAGGTCTTAGTTGAACTGCTTAAAAGCCTCTAGTTCCTGGTCCTCACGCCTTATATACCTTTCTGCTTCCTACCATCACTTCCTGGGATTAAAGGC